TCTTCATCAGCCTGGAAGGTTTGGAAAGCGCCAAAAGTTTGGGAATATAGCGAAGGCGCAACTGCACAGCGTGGCGACCTCCGCGATGATGAAGATCGGCTCTTCAAGCCATGAGAACGTTGTGGGCTTTTCCGAGGCTCGGGTGGCTTTGGATTTGCGTCACCCGGTCGCATGAATCTTGTGCTGCCAGGATCAGCTCCAGGAGTGCTGCAAGATGCAGACAGCTTTGCTCCTTGACAGAGCACTCGTCGAGACTGATTTTGCGACGGTGATCTTGTTTGGCGCTTTTTTTTGTGCTCAGGCTCTGTCCGCAGATGTTTGGGCACCCATGTGGGCGGCCTCGAGAGTACAGGATCTGTTATGACCCCGAGAAGTGGAAGTGGCGTTGCGTTCCTGGGCTTACTGTTGCTCCCGTCACTGACTGCTTGCCCAAATTGTCCCGCCGAGGCATGGTCCTTTCAGGAACTGACGGATAAAGTCCTCCTGTCCAAGAAGACTGCCGTGCATCTTCGGCCGAGTTGTTTCAACTTGGCGACAGAATCCGAAGACAAGGTGACGGAGAAAGACCTGCCAGAGCAGACGGCTCAGAATTTATTCGGCCAGTCTTTGTCATGTTGCATCGGCAGCAAAGAAATCGGAATCAGTGAGGTCGCATCGCAAGCATCTTTCGGACTTTCGGCGCTTGGCGCCGGAGAAGAAGATCTTCGATCTGAATTCGAATCCCCGGATGAGACTTCGCACCGATCTGCAGCACGGGGAAATGCCAACTTTGACCACGAACATGGCACATGTTTGGTCATGTCCTCGGTCTGCTTTTCTTTGTCCTCTAACTCCTGACAGAGTGTCGTGTTATGTGAGGTCGGAGCATCTCCAGCGGTGCTTTACGGGTCGTGAGAAGCTGGCATCATTGGGCTATCCTACGTATGGCGTGATGTGTGCTGCCAGCCATGTTGCTTCTGGGCGTGCATTTGGCTGTATGCCATGTCCCGTTTTCTGGAACTGGAAACCGATCGATGATTGACTTCAGTTCATAGGATTGCAGCTTCTCGTCCTGAGCCTTATAAGTAAACTGCCGCAGCATAAATCATTTCTGTGGCGTCCACAGCTACGACACAGGCACCGTGTAGATATGTATATATATATATATAGACACACACATAGACACATACATGTTAAACATCGTATCCATATCTGAATCTGTAGGCATTGATTCCAAGCAAACACAAGCACCTGCGAGCGCCTCCAGCCGGCAAGTACAACGCACAGCCTTGTCTAGTTGCAAATTTACAAGAAGGAAATGCTAATTGCTAAGCGGAACAGCACGTAGTTCACAAGGCGAAAAGTAAAAACATGTCAGAAATGGAAATCCAAACGGAGTCAGTAGTAGTAGTAGCACTAGAAGAAGCAGTAGTAGTAGTAGCAGCAGTAGTAGTAGTAGTCGTCGTAGTAGCAGTAGTACTTGTAACATTGATCGTGCAGCAAGCAGCTTTCGGGAGAACCAGCGTGCAAACATCGTCTTGCATGCCATTGGTTGAGCGACCTGGGAGATGGACGAAGGACGACGGACGAAGACGACTGACCACGAAACCATCCGTCTTGCGGCTTGAACCCGCGTTTCTTCTAAGTACCATACAGCATTGGCCCGCGTCACTGGTGTGCATGTTGCAGTCAGGATTCGGAGCATGCGTGGGGGCTTGGGCGGCCGATTGCGAGTAGGTTCTGAAAATGTGCACGTGCGGCACTGCCGACTCTGGCGATGCATGGATTCTTGGTAATTTCTTTGCCGTGTCACATGCCATGTGGTGTATGCCGATCCAAACACTAGTGCGAGTACACCTATACGATATGTAACTGTGTGCAAACATCTGAATATCATAATACATATATACATAATATAATATAGTTAATATATATAATATATATATATATATATATATATATATATATATATATATATGATATATAGTTGTACATACATATGTATGCATACATACATACACACATACGTACGTACACACATATGGACACAGAGTCCTACGGATAGATAATCATATGCACATGCAGACATTTGTGTGTGTGTGAGAAGCTCCAGAGCAGCACGAGCAAAACAGCAGCTTCAAACTTCATACCTGCATGCGCATTTCGTAAGTAAAGCTCACTGTAACTATGTCTGTACATATGTACGTACATAAAAACATACGCTCCACGTTGTCATTTGCATGGCTTCAACATGAAGACTAAGAGTGTGAAAAAGCTTGACGTGTGTTTCGATCCCGCACCACGCGCCCTGCCCAACAACTATTTAAACTTTCATTTAGAGTGCGAGCGAGGGAGGAGGGAAAGCACAATACTATCGACTTTGTGGTCCTGCGGCATAAGAGGTCCTTCTCTCACTCTCCGTCCTTTTGTGTAGTAACTGAGTCATTCTAGTATGAGTGGAGTAGTACTCACGCACCATCCCAAAATGTGACTCTCCTATCTCCACTGAGTGGTTTCAGAGCACATGTGCCTGGGAGAAGAGGCTCATGGCATGAAGCGGCATCCAACAGTTGAGCAGAAATCGACCGATAGAAGTTGCTGGCAATCTGAAGGTCGCTTAAAATATTATAATACTACAAAAGACTCCAATGCCTAGGATGTGGAGGGCATTCTATAGCCATGCCCCTTTTGGGCAAGTTACTGTACAAGTATAATAGGAGTACTAGTAGTAGTAGTAGTAGTAGTAGTAGTAGTAGTAGTAGTAGTAGTAGTAGTAGTAGTAGTAGTAGTAGTAGTAGTGCTGCTGCACATGAGATGACTGACGATGCAGATGGTGATGTCGCTCTTCCTGCCGATGGTGATGTCGCCTCGAATTTGTAAGGACCGCGTCACTTTCGATGACTTCACAGAGGCCAATCTCACGAGATTTGCCGGGAACGGCATGCACTTGCCGTCTGTGGCGTGGTCTTTGCTTTGCCAGATATTGTGCTTGTCGGAAGCGGATTCAAACGCGTGACCTGAGAAAAGCAAGAGTTCAAAAGAAGATGCTGTGTCAAGCAGTATTTGATTTGCAGCCGTTGCGATCAGCCACTTAGCATGATCATCCCATGGCTTGATTTCGCATTGCTCGCCCAGGTCTCGTTTTCGGAAAGGACAAGCCGGCACTGCGGGGCAGCACTGGCACGTGTTTCAAGCTTTGCCAAGAGCATCCTTAGAGCTGTCAGACCTGATTTTTTTACTTGTCTCGAGCATGCAGTTTGCAGACTGGCACTAAGTGGAGATGTCGATCTAAGAGAATCCGCAGTCGCAGCGTGAAGCCACCAAAACATGAAATGTGGCCTGTTCTGATTTCAACTCTTCTCCGAGGTTCGAATAGTGCATCGAAGCGCAACTTAGTCCAGATTTTCTCCCAGGTTCTAATAGCTTGGGTGCATCGAAGCGTAACTTAGTCCAGATTCAGTCCATGCTTCATACGGCGCATGGGTGATGAACTGCGAAATTTGCTCCGGGGTTCTCGGAGCCAAGCCTGTGAGGACGGGCGATCTGAGGATGTGGCTTCCAAGACGAGGCGAAGAAAAAGGCTTCAATCTGAATCTGATGCACCTGTCAATGACAGCCGACTGAAGTCTTCCCGATCTGGCAGTGCGAGCACCAGTTTGGCAGCCCTGGTGAAGGGCAAACGGGGACAACAGAGTTCTGCTTTGGAGTGTCAGGAGGCTGACAGTGCGAGCGGCGGTTTGGCAGCTCTTCTCAAGCATAGACAGGGACGACAGAGTTCTGCAGTGGAGGGTCAGGAAGGCGCGAGTCTCGCTGACCTGGTGCGACGCAGCAGTTCGGCTGGCACCGATGGGGAGAACATGGACTTGGCTGATCTCCTGGCCTCTAGAGCAGCCTCTGACAGCGAGCACTCCGATGATTGTTCTCATGGCGGGTCCGTGTTCGATCTTGGATGGGACAGACTCAGCAGGTTTATGGATGGACGTCTCTGGCAAAAGCTACAGACGAAAGAGGCAGCTGACGAGAAAGCCAAGGCCACGAGGCATTACAGCATGAAGAACCGAAACCAACGACAGCGGGTGAAGCATGACACCTTCGAGAACAATGGCAAGTCTGTGCAGCGAATACGCAAGGTCCTTTCATCGAAGTGTCAATGCCTCCCGACTGAGACGTTTCAGCTGAATCCGGGGCACGATTGAGATTTAAGTATATTTTTCTAAGAGATTATTGATAGTCGCTCGACAGAAAGACCTGCTTGGCGATGTAAGGTGCGGCGGAGACATGTTACCACAACCTGAAGACGAAGGACGTCAAAGCTTTTCTGGATTCCTTTTGGAGTTGCAGCAAGCAGGAGCAGGACCAGCTGGCAACCCGACCTTGAAGATTTGGGGATACGTGTCCAAGGATTGTTTAGAGCAAGTTAGCGTAAACCTAATGACCTAATTATTATAACGACAGGGTATCACTTCGAAGCAATGTTGCTAAATTAAGTCTTCCTCTCTTCTGTGCCAGTTGACTTCCTGCTTCTCTTCCAGCGGAAAACAGATGAGTGCCCCGCGTCGCTGGTCCTTGTTGGGTCAGAGCTTTGGGTCGGGACACTTGCCAGCATTCAGGTGGTCCTTACAAGTAAGTACCAATTTCACTCCGATTATTGCATATCATGTTGGAGTTGAGACAGGCAAGTGTTTGTCGCAACTGCTCGGTGTCGGAAGTCATCGACTCCGGAAAGATTTCAATCAGCTGCCGGACCTGAGATTTGGGTCCCGTGGCACTGGAGAGAAGCTTGCTGCTGCAAGCTGCAACGCATTTCTGCGCCTGCAATATCAACAAGTGGCAGAAGCTTTGCCAGACAGGCAGGAAACTTAAGGAATAGGTTCACAGCAGGCATCAGACAGGCTGTTTATGTGCGTAAAGACAGCATTAGAATGAATATGCGGGAAGCATGATTCAAATCGACCAGCTTGCCCCAAGCGAGGTTCATTAAGCGGGGGCAACAGCGCGAGCGATGTTTGGATGATGATGAAATGAGCGAACTGGAAGGGGCTGTCGCCTCCGATGCCGATGACAACGAGGAGGAATTGAAGGCATTCTGGTGGGTGGGGACTTCGGAACCGAGCAGCAAACCCCACTCGTCGCTAGCCCATGCCCGATGACAGTTATGTTATCTGATAGATTAGGTTTTCGCACTTTTTAAGCAGTGCTAATCGTTGATCAGGCAAAGCGAAAAGGGTTCAAGCTCAGTTTGCATGACTGCTTCCGTCTGGAGGCGTGGCTTGATCGCCCGGCTTCAGGGCCGCTGTATGGTGCAACTGTGGCCAACAGCCAGCTGGTTCGGCGGTACTTGCCACCTGGGTCCCTGCATGAGCTTTTCGAACATTACACTGCTGTCCAAGCAATGCTTGGGGCCAGCTCGGCCTCGCAGCTTGGAATGACATTGTGAGGACTTTGCAAAATGAAATCATTGGGGTTCGGAGGCCCTTGAGGTCATGATGTCGATCGTTGTCTTGTCTTGGTGTTGACTCAAGCTCTGCAAGTGCTGTTATGTAGCCACCGTCTGCTGCGGAGGTTCAGTACCTTTGTGCGGGTGTACAACGACAGCTGGAAGGATGTTCTGCGATTCAGGCAGAAGTCGATGCTCCCTGGTGCATTCTTGCAAAATTTTACTGTGCGACCAGCGACAATAACACAAAGGACACGACAGAGGATAGCAGCAAACAGCCTTCAAATGTCAAGTCAAGTTTCTTGGACGTAACCACTCCTGCATGGGAGGTTCACTACGTGCGAGATTTGCCAGCAGCTGAAGGCGTCTCTAGCTGAGAAAGAGCTCTCGCTGGAGAAGAAGCTGGGTTGCCTGCTAGCTTACAGGAACCACTTGAAAGATCAGTACGACGACAGGTCTCGGCTGTGGGAACTTGAGGCCATGTCCGCCGATCCATCTTCCAACGTCTTGCTACTTTCTGTAGATGGGATGGATCAGGCGAAGTTCGCCGTACCGAGGGATCCTCAATTGCGCTGTTCTTCCGCACTGTCTTCGGCCATCCGCCCGCGGATGATGGTGCATGCTTGCCACGCACATGGATACACTTTGCACATTCGCGTCGCCGACGAGACTGTCAAGCATGACAGCTCTTTCGTTTTGGATTTGGTTGCCGAGACCCTTGAAAAGGTGCACGTTGCGAAATAAAGATATGAGTCAGTAAGCTTGCCGTTAATCTATCTCTTCATCAAACATGAGGACTGTGTGTCTTTGACTGGAGTGCTTTGTGCTTCTGGCCAAGCCATGCTGTTGTTCAGGTTCACGACATATGCGTGGATCGCAAGCAACGAATGCCAGACCAGATCATTCTTGCCGTGGCATGGCCTGAGAGAACAGGAAAATTTGAATAGTATTTTCCTGGAATAGGAGCCTAAGTACCTTAAACACGTGAAATAAATCAATTTTTCATTGAAGTTACTCCGGGCCTAACCCTGGGAGCGAACGTGTACCAGGGCGACAATTGCGTCCGTGAGAACAAGAACTCTTTCGTGCTCTCTTTTCAAAGTCTTCTGGTTCAGCGCTTCAAAGCACGTGTGGCTGGCCTGGCTTTCCTACGAAAGTCGCACACGCACAACGGCCTAGGCCGAGGGGAACGTTTGTTGGGGGTGCTTGGAGTATGTAAACGAAGAGGCTGGAATATTTTCCCTCAAACTCATTAGTACAATCAAGCTTCGGACCTGTCGGCCTTGATGTCAAGTTGCCTGCTTGTCCCGCAGATCAGCTATTCGGAATTTTGGCGCGGCGTCTGGCCTCGACTGACCGTATCTTGAACGACGAAGATGTAATCGAGGTGCTGCGGCAGGAATGCCGAAGGCCTTTGAAACCTTTCATTTCATACCAAAAAACTCTGACGTAGGAGTGAGTTCAAGGGTCGCCAACCCGGATATCCTGCATCCCTAATGTCAATTCGGAGTCTCGGGGGCAAGGGATTCAGGACTGGGGTCGGTGCCAGTTGGGGGCGCTTGTTTTGCAGGCCCGGTGTGCGGTCCTGGTTGGGCACGAATGTTTCCGTTTGCGTGGAGAAGACACCTGCTGTCCGAGCCTGGGCCGACCACGTCGGCAAAACTGGCGTGAAGCTGGAAGGCGGTCTGCTTTGCGACAAGACCTCGAATCACTTTTTCCTCTTCATGCTGTATCGAGGCGCATAATTAAAATAAGTTGAGGTTTATCATTTTGGTAATGGCTAAGATGGCTTGTAACTTCTGAACCATGGGCTTCATGGCAAACCCTAAGCCTAGTTGCTTGTCTTTTGTCTCTACACAGCTTCGCTTCGCCAGACCTGCCCGTACCACTACAAGAGCGGGTCAAGCGTCGTCGCGGCTTTTCCGCACCTGCGGCTCTGGATGTAGTCGTTCTCGTGAAAGAATACATTTGCTCGGACGATTTGGGCCAGGAGCCTCAAGTCGTCTTGCCCGTCTCCCGCTGTCTTCATGGCGGCCTTATCCCGTCTGGTAAGCATCCGCTTCGGGACAAAGAGTCTGCGAAAGTATCATGGACGAAGACGGGGCTCCTCGTGATCCAGGCATACGGTGCAGCCGGGCTGAACAGCTTTAGTTTGGCAAGTTATGCTCCTGCTTCAAAATGGTATGTATATTCAGTGAAGTTCTGGATTCTCAATGAAAGTGGTTATAAAAAGTTGTCAGGGAGTACGGGAAAGCATCGAAACCCGAATTTGCAGGCAGCGGGGCTAGTTTGAACTCATTGTCAATGTGGTAGTCGTGGTGTAGCGGATGTCGTGGTCGGGTACAGAGCACTGAAAGCAGAGTGTATTTACAGCACTCCCAAGGTGCTAACATGTGCTAACTTCTGACAAGGATTCGCTGGTTCTGGACCTTCGGTATAATTCGTGAATACTTAGATGCTCTGAAACCTTTCATCATGTTTGTATGGACCGTTTCGCAGAGTTCTGCATGCAACGGTCCTGACTCACATACAATAGGAGCCCTTGCTACCAGCCATCCACTTGCCTGCAGGCTCTATTGTAGACAGGTTCAGCCATTCCAGTGTGAAGTAAATTCTTTTGTAAAGTCAAGATGAAGTGATGCAGCTACAGCAGCCTGGATATCTCTTGCAGATACACGCGCAGTGAGGCAGACTCAGATAATAAAAGTTATGGCTTCAGGCTCTGGAAGCCAGGTAACTTCTTAACCACGTCGTACTATTGTTCGAGAAACTGGCACTGGTTTGAAGCAATTGAATTTCCTGTGCGGCCAAAGGAAGAATACAGAAGGGCGTACGATTACTTGCAGCGACTGGTCAATGATGATATGTGGAGGCAAGCTCCACTGCGTTCTTTGCCATGGCTTGATTCCATCGGACAACGGCCGGGTGTGAACGATGCAGAGGCTTGCTTGCACCAGAGTGTGCTGGACGCATTGGCGCCGAAGGTACCTTTGCGCGTGGTCTTTCAGAGGCGTGCGAATGCAGAGTAAAAAACGGCGGGGCAGCGGCTGGCAGCGGATGGCTAGCGTAAATTAACTTCAGTCACTGCATTGATTCTGTGTTGCCATGTTCGAAAACTTTTCAATGCAGTTGTTCTGCCAGACTGCATTGATTTCTTTTTGTGTAGCAATAATGGGGTTTTCGAAGTTCCCTCTTCTCGAATTCCCGAGGCTGTCCTGGTATGGGTTTTCAATGCAGTTGTTCTGCCAGACTGCATTGATTCTGTGTTGGCTTGTTGGGAATAAGATCAATGCAGTAAGTGATGTTTTGCCTAGCGTAAGTTTCGGTGTCAAGGGTTTTCGGGTCAGTGAAAATCAACGCAGTGGTTCTGATCTACTGCATTAATAATCTGTGTCATCATATGTGCGCTGCATTGAAAATCCGCGTCGGCAACTGGCACTGCATCGAAAATCCGCGTCGGTAACTGCCCGGTGCATTGATATTCGGTGTTGGTGTCCTGCGCGTTCAGGGAGGTCGGTGTTGGGTAAGTTCCCCTTTCAATCTAGAATCCATTCTCATGCGAGGCCCTAGGCACGTGTTCTTCCTTCCAATCCAGTCAGCTTCGGCATCTAATTAAGTAGGATCTGTTCTAACTCCTGATGCAAGACTTGCGCCAGGTCCGTTTCATCACAGCTTCGCAGCATGGGCCTGAGATTCCCCGGCCTTCAGTCGTATGCTGGTCTGCATTCAGGGTTTGGCCCGTTAGTGGGTGCAAGTAGGATGTTTAAATAGTCATATTAGTTAAAGTCTTGCAAGAGTTATCATCTTGGCCCTCGCTTCACATAGCAGAGGCAGCACACCCTGCACCCGAAACTCCAGACGTTAACCCTAACCTCGACGCCCGCCAAGTTGAAGTTTATTGACTCGGTGCAAATGTTCTACATCTTTTGCTGACCGGCGGGCCCAACGGCTAGTCCGATCACATACCAGTAGCAGCGCACCCTGCACAGAACCCTATATTCCAAACCCCGAAAGACGCGACTTGCAATACTGACTCGCTGCCCAAGCTTCACGTGATTATCTGGCAAAGGGCCCTAGGCTGGGCCGATCCCTCTCCATGGCGGGCTTTCTGCAACGGTGCAAGGAAGCATGCAAGGACGTGCTTGAAGAGAAATCCGAAAAAACGGAGCAAGGCGCATCTCCGGCGAAGAAGTGGTGTTCGCAGTTCGAGAAACAGCTGTCCAAGCTCGGGGGGGACCTCACGCTGATCAAGGCAGGGTAGGAATTTCTGTAGTCTGGTTCCTCTACATGCCATCCAAATTCAGTTATTGAGGTTGCTTTGCTTGCGTTGTCACAGGAGGTCGTGGACTACCTCAGCTTCTGGCAGCAGGACTCTGCAGATCTCAAGGTGCTGAAGCCCCACGAGCACCCGGCATATGCTGTACTTCAGTTTCTGCATTCTGGAAACGCTGAGCACAACGAGCTGAACAGCGAGCATCTGGAACGATGGTTCGAGTCATACTCCAGAAAGCGGGGCTCCAAAGCTGTTTTCAAGCCGCTGCAAGACTGCGCATCCCGTCTAAAACATTCAGGAATCACACTGAGTAGCTGCAGAGTGCTAGACATTCAGTGCGAAGCTGCGGTTGGCAAGACGTGGGTAACATGACATGAGGTGATTGATGCATCGTCAGCCGGCGATACCGTGAAGCTGCCCATCACGGCAATCAAGTGCCCTGGCCGGGACACTCACAGCGCCAATGCGAATCAAAGCTCAAATGAATGAAGTGAAAATTCTGTCAAGCTCGCAGCCGAGGTTCCAGTGCCCACCGGACGGGTTGCCGTGTGTGAGGGACTGGATCACGCTCTTTGAAAGCATGGTCTGCACGGGCATCGACTTGGCCCGTGAGCCTCTCTCTGTCAGCGTGGACTTGGCGGACGGCGGCAAGCTTCGACCGGCGACGGTCGACATCTACAAGGGCTTTACAAAAGCCAGTGTCATTGCGTTCTGTTTGTGCGTTTTGACAGACTTGGATGTCGAAGAGCAGTGGCCTTTGATCGAACCCTTCACGACGTTCTTGGACCGTGCGTATATGTTGCCAATGCACGCTGTTTGCTTGAGATTTGAGTGCGATTTGTTTGATTGAGTCCTAAGTGCCCACTGCGCATTCTGAGACTCATTGACTCAAAAAGGTTTCGCTCAGTCTGTCGGCCGTGGACCAGTCCTTCTCCAACCTTGCTTTGAGCTACAGAGGGGCGGAGAGGCAGGCCCCTTCGATCATATCCTTGGCCCTGCGCTTCAACGACGTGCTCAAAACAAAGTCCAAGCAGGCCTGCTTTCCTGCGGGGTCGAACGTCGAGAAAAGAATCGAGGCCATCGTCGAAGAGTTCAACGGCAGCAGCCTTATGACGGCGAGGTTTGCTGTGGGCTCAGAGAAGATCAAAGCGATTTCCAACATTATCGTGGGAACGTGCGAGGCCAGGTTCACGACTCGAGCATGATTGTGTTCATTTCATGTATTTGCTTCGTGCGCGTTTGTTTGCGGTCAGCGCCAGGAGACCCTGGCGCTGATGCAGTCTCACTTGCACACGACGAAATGGAAGGATTCGGCATTCAGCCACAACTTGTTGAAGTCGAACAGATGGCTGATTGGCGCCTCCCGGCGAGTTGATCACAACTACATGCGCAGCCTGCTGGTGGTGACGGCACCGATCCAGGCAGCTCTTCACATCTTGAGATCTGCAGAGATTGTAAAGAAGTTGTGAATTTGAATCCACGCATCTTTTGATTCAGGAGTTCTTCGTGCGCAACCACATCCTCGCTTTCTTGAAAGCAGGCAGGCGACTCCGGAGTAGCGCCCGAGCGAAATGCCGGCCGAGCGTGGAGCAGTTCGAGCAAGCCATGGACTATTGCTGCGTGATGTACCACTTGGTGGAGGAGGCCACCAAGCAGTTTCCCAAGAAGGACATGCGTGCCCTGATGCAGGCTGTGGACAACAGGCTCGTCCCATCGTTCACCTTGCAAGTGCTCAGTCAATCAGCTCTCTGCTTGCGTTTCGGACTCCCGGTGTCAGGGAGTTTTACGACGAAGTCATACTGGCTGTGGACACCCAGCTTCCCAATTGGAAGCTCGCCCACCTGACGGTTTGGAACGAGCTCGTCGAGGAACGTGTGCAACATGACCTTTTACTACTACTACTACTACTGCTACTGCTACTGCTCATGCTAGTGCTCCAGTGCCAGTGCCAGTGCGACTGCTCATGCAACTGCTACTGCGACTGCTACTGCCACTGGTACTGGTAGTGGTACTACTACTACGACTGCGACTACGAGTGTAACTACTACTGACTAGTACTAGTACTGTCACTGCTACTGGTACTCTTGGCACTAGTGTACTGGTCCTAGTAGCACGAAAACGACTACTTGTAGTACCACGACACTCCGCCGAGCAGTGCTACTGAGTTCATTATAAAAAATGCGGCAATACAAACATTTTCTCTCCCGACCTCTAACACAAAGGAACACACCCACGTGTAAGGGTACTAGAGGCAAAGGAAAGTTACTCTAATATGATTAAAGTGACGTTTGTTTTACTTCTACGTCGCTATGTTGCAGAGAAGACCAACGTTGTCCTTCCGAAGCAGGAGCCCACGTTGACATCAAGCTTGGAAGGCAATGTTCTTGCAAATGCAAGCCTGGATGACTTGGAGGAGGCCAGGAGCTTGGCGCGGTACCAGGACAGCGCCCGGAAGTTCGCGTATCATTTCTGTGCATCCTTTTGAAAATTCCGAGACCAAGACTGCTTCATGCGCAGGAAGTGATGGCAAAGATAGCCTCGGATGAGGCTTTGTGGGCCACGTATGTGCAGCAGGGCAAGTCCGCAGCAGCCCGAGAGCATGTGCTGAAAGTCTCCCACTCGCGTGCCCAGAACGTCATCGGGCAGGGGTCGCCCAGCCGAATTAATTTTTATGTCGGTGACCGTTTGTCGTCCGTCTCCGATTATGGACTTGAGCTTGCACGAATGACTCCGAAGGCTCGTCGAGTCGGTGATGCAGAAGCGCTGCATGATGCTTTGCGTCCCGGGCGACTTGTCGGTGCCCAACCTGGACACCTTCATGCGCAACGCAGCCCTCGACTTCGGCAAGAAGGCCCCTGGCAGCATGTTGAGAGACCATGTTTTGGCACGAGGGAAAACGTTCCTTTTTCAGGCCACGCTGGATGATGTGGAGCTGGTGGTTTGGACCGACTTCACGAAAGTCGGCGCGGTGAGCTCCGTGATCGTCAATCGGCACATGACATTCCAGGCCAGCCTGGTGTGCAAAAGCGGCGACCGTGTTTTGGCTGCATCGGCCGCATTTGCAACATGCGGTCCAGTTGATGCCAGCGCAAGGTAATCGCACAAAAGCCATTTGTGTTGTAGCCTGCGCAAGGCAACGTTGGCCTGACGATCGCTCCACTCCTGTGCTCAAGCACCTCAGGTGCCGCGCTCAGGAAAGAGTACAGGCCGGATGGGACCATCCTGAGGATAATGACTGAATTTCAAGCACTTGGTAGTCTGTCGCTGTCATCCTAAACCCGGCAGGCAGATCGAAGACAAGCTGGTCAACCTGAACATGGAGTACAGACCCGTGGTTCTGGCGGTGGACCTCGCGGCGGTGCACGGAAACAGGGAAGTCCCAGCCTACTTCGACGCCTACATTGCTGTTCCGGACGTGAACCTGCCTCTGAAAGGAACAGCCTTCAGGCCTGCCTACGGAGAGAAGTCGGACTCGTCTGTTCGCGTGAACAAGTGACTAGTCTGAAGCAGTCGCTGCGAGATGCATTGTTATGAAACTAGTTGATTGCGGTTTTGCAAACAATCGAGGCACACGAACTCGCCGCTGTGGAAGCTTCGTGGCTTGCAGAGCCCTCTGCCGGCCGCGATACCGGAGAGTGAGTTCCTGGTACCGGGTGCCAAGATGCTGATGAACCAGGCGCGCCGCAACCTGACCAACCATCAGGAGACAGGGCAAAGGTAGGAATGCCGTATTTTGTCTTATAATGCTAAGTCATCGACAGGGCCCATGAGGGCTATGGTTACCAACTTTATAAAGGAGACCGCGCAGTGGTTGGGCGGATCGGCCATTCCGCATTCCGTCCTGAAGAGCTTGGGCATCAACGGCAACAAACCAGTTGTGCTCGTGAACACGACCATGTACGATGGCTGTGTAGAACGTGCATGCTACCAGCTGAGTATCCCTGTGATTTCTTTGACGGACACCGCCTCGGTGCTTACCTTCGCCGCGGGCACCGTGGGCCAGGAGCTGTTGGAGGCACACTGGGCTTAGGGGAAGGGGGGTGGAGGTGGGGTTATGGCTCACGCCACATCGGCCGAAAAAGCGTTTAAAGTGCAAACCCTCAGCGCAGTTGGGCGAGAGTGGGAGTTCTTTGTGCGACAGTTTCCAGCATCAGAAGGAAGCAAGTTTATCAAACCAATGGCGCGTTGCTCTTTGTGATTTGCGGAGGACGTATTGGAGTTGTTGCTTGCGATGAGGCTTAGGCTGGAGATCTGTATTGAATCGCTGCTTGTAGAATATGATTACTCGGTCTGAGTAGCCACTTGAATTTAATTGTTAAAGATGATTCACTGGATGACACGTGGGCCACACTGCAAGGAACCTAGATGGACAAACAGAGACAGACACAGCTTGCGACTCCTTCACGCATATGATACGGCACCATGTTGGAATTCAGGACTACGTCGTAAGATACGTTCTGCGCGAATCCAGGGTGATGATTCAGTTTTAATTCTTGTGACTATATCCGATGTTGCCACTAACTCAGCGTATGCATGACTCCAAACGAAGTCTCGGCACTTGTCATTGGTAAAAGAGACGCAATTGAATAATCGACAGACTCATTGAGTTTCGAGCTTTGTGCTGTGACTCAGCCCGACCACAGGAATGGAAGCGGGGCGAAGGCTACATGGGAAGCCAGGTGCCACGGTTCGTGAAAGATCCTCCTCTTTCAGAAATGCCAGCTGCAGTTGCGCTTCCGACTTTCTCCTTGTGCCAGTCCACCGATGGCGTGCTTTTGATACCGCCGCAGATTCGCCAGGAGTTTCTTTGCGATGCCGTGCGGAGCGCTGAATGGCGCTCCTTTCTCAAGCGATTCGACGCAACGTACGGGGCACCCGTGGTGTTCAGCCCTGCCGAGGATGCCACAGCCAATGCAGAGACCTCGTCGTCGTCGTTCGACTGGTCCAAGGTCTTCCAAGACGAGCCGCGTCTGTGCGAGAAGCTCAAGGAATCGGACGTTGTGCACACATGCCCCATGGATTCCACGAGCTACCCCGGCGTCACTTTGAAGATTGTGGGTGGTGGCGAGGAGAATGAGCCGAAGCTGTTCGTCTGTGCCGAGGCGGACAGCGAAATCAGCTCGGACAAGCCCTTCCTGAACTTTGGTCAAGGCAGTTGGGTCATCGACCAGAAGGCCACGGCTTGGATCAAGGACGCACGCATGCCAAATCAGATCCAGACTCAAGCAGGTTTACATAACAGTCAGATAGCGGCAGGGCTGCTTTGGCGAGTATAATACTTTATCGTCAGGCCTCTGACTCCTTTGACTGAAAAAAGGTATTTTACGAACTGGTTTCAATTTGGTGGGGCCAGCACATTCATCTGTATTCAGACACCATTGCAAGCACCAGTCACGTCATACCACATCGTATCGGGTACGAGTCACGGTTATTCTGCCGAACCTTTCTGGATCTGCAATAAAATACCAGTTGAATTTATTATTCTGATCTTGCTATGAGAATTATTGCAGGAGCATCCCGAGAAATCTGTCGAGTTCGTTTTGCAGAGCGACATGGAGCCGGTGATCTATGAAGAGGATGGCAAGGCGTCTTCGGAAGTCTTGACGCTGCGACAGCTGCTCATCAAGATCGAAGCGGGAGGCTGCGTGGACTTTGAGCTTGCGGGCCACGACTGCAGCCGCACGCTGACTAAAGAGGCAGCTGCTGCAGCTGGCCAGGAAGACAAGCGACTCGCACGCAGTGAATGAGGGAGTAAGGGACAGGTCGGCATGACATTGATGTGTGAATTCAAAGTAGCGAAGCCAAGGTTCAGCGTTGCGAAGAAGGCGGCCCAGCTTATGGTGTTCAAGCCCCATGCCATTCAGCTGAAGAACTTGTCAAACCGCAACATGGCACCCTACTTCGACACCCGTTGCTTTGCTGACAACAACAGTCCCTTGAAGAAGATCTGGGGCATGAGGCTGTACAAGACTGACAAACTTGTCAGTGCTTCCAAGCCTGTGTACTACCTGCGCTCCGCCCTGAAGCTTCAGAAAGGACAGTGCCAGAGAGTCCTGTGATCGATGTTTCTTCCACGATCTTCAAGCGCAAGTCTGCTCAAGCAGTGAAGTGCGCATCACCTGTGGGCATCTCGTCGATGCCAAGGGGAAAGAATGTTTTGTGTGAACCACGTCATGGCTTTGGCAGAAGGTGTCTTCAATCCTGTCGTAAGACCTAACATCAGGTCAGCAGTCAGTGCAGCTGCTCATGCAAGATTTCGCTTGAACATCAGTTCTGAAGCCTGTCAGGTGGTTTGCTTGCCTCGATGCAGTAACGCATCGTCATTTAATTTTCGTCAGTGAAGATGCGGGACCGAAGCCCGTCGGGCATGTTTGCTTGCGTCGATGCAGCCAGGCATCATTTCATTCGTGAGCGAAGATGCGGAACCCAAAACATAGTGTGCTGTGAACCCATGGCACGGCTTTGGCTTGCGGCGTTAGCAGACCTGTCGCAAGATCAGATCATGAGTCCATCAACAGCTCTTCAGGGTTAGCGATTTTGGCTTGAACCTCCGTGCCGAAGCCTGTCACGCGTGTTTGCCTGCTATGATGCAGCCTGGCATCATTTTTGTGAGCGAGGATGCGGAGGTGGACTGGGCACCTCCTAGACTAAGTCCTGGGGGAGGTTTGCCACGTGCAGGCCTACTTGGAGATGGTGTGGCATCGCAGCTGGTGCCTAGCAGGGTGCTGCCGGGTGCAATGGCACAGCCGGTTGGTCTGGGAGCCTCTGGAGGTTTGCCACGTGCAGGCCTACTTGGAGATGGTGTGGCATCGCAGCTGCTGCCTAGCAGGGTGCTGCCGGGTGCA